GTTGTAGTGGTGTGTGTGTGTGTATGTGAGTGTGTGTGTTGTGTGTGTGTGTGAATGTGCGTGTGTGTGTGTGTGTGTGCGCCTGTGTGTGTGTATGTGTGCGTGTGTATGTGTGTGTGTGTGTATGTGATGTGTGTGTGTGTGAGCGCGCGCGCGCGCGTGTGTGTGTGTGTGTGTGTGTGTAGGGCGGTGAGATCGGAGCCGCCGCGAGGGGAGAAGGGGCGACAGGCCCGCCGAGGGGAGATGGGACCCAACTCGTGGGCCGGCGCCGGCGTGGCCCCGCCTCCTGGCGCACGTGCTCCGGTGCGCGGCCCGCCACGTGGGTTTTGGCGCTCTGCGTGTGTTGCCCGTCTCGGGCTCGGGGAGTCGCGGGGTACCGGGGAGGGGGACAGCGGGACTGAGCTAGGTTGGAAGAAGATAGTGAAGACGAAGAAATGTCCGAAGATGAAGAAGATGACAGCAGTGGAGAAGAGGTATACAGCTAATAGGGCAGCGGTGCCCTCCCTTTAATTCCAGCAAGAGGGACGTAGAAGGCAGGCAGTTTTAGTGAGTTCAAAGCCAGCCTGGTCTACAGAGGGAGTTCGGGGACAGCCAAGGCTACACAAGAAACCCTGTCTCAAAAACCAAAAAGAAAAAAAAAGATGTAGAAATAGAATGTGTGTTAATAAAAGTATTCTAAAGCCGGGCGGTTGTGGTGCACGCCTTTGATTCCAGCACTCAGGAGGCAGAGGCAGGCGGATCTTTGTGAGTTCAAAGCCGCACATGGTCTACTTAATGAGTTCCAGGACAGCCTCCAAAGCTACAGAGAAACCCTGTCTCCAAAAACCAAAAAAAAAAATACAGTAGTATGATAACAATAGTTGAGTGACAAGTTCTTTATTGCTATTGAGTAGTTAAATAAGAGTATTACAGTCCACTTGAGAGGGATGTAAATTTCACTCAGGTTTCACATGCTGTATTGAATATTGATTGTAGGCTGTTATTTTTCCCTACATTTTTGGAAAACAGGGTTTAATCCAGTTTGATTTGTTTTCATTCAGATCATGGTCACGTGATTTCATGGTGTTTGGTGAGAAGGACATTACGACTAGAAATTCCCGGGTGTTTTTTTTTGTTTGTTTGTTTGTTTTTTGAATCAGGATCTCAACATGACCCTTGTGGTCTTAGAACTCAACAAGTAGACCAGTCTGGCCAAAAATTCTCCTGAATAAAGGCATTAGTCATTGCATGAAGCTAGTTAAGAAACTTAGGGCTTTGATTTAGATGAGAATTGGAGTCAGGGTCTCAATAGTTCAGGAATCACTATATTTATTTTACTCCTATTCCCATCATGCATGTTTTGTTTTTTAGTGCTGATCCCTATCACTAAAGTAAGCTTTAGCCTATTATATAAACTTTTATAGAGCAAGTCAGTTTTTAAAATACATCAGATATGGATTGAAGGCTGCTACTTACCAGTTTGCTGAATCTGGTACTTATTAGCACTCCTACTTGTTGGTTCATTTAAAGACATGGTTAATTAATTTCAGGAGGCAGAAGTAGGGATAGTCTTGGAAATCAGGTAAGCTGGGGGTATGTAATCATTATGCTCAGATTTCTTGTTTAGAAGAGCTATATTAGTAATAAGCAAAATTTGGGTTTTGGTGGAACATTTTTCAATGAAAATAAAATGCATACTTGTTATAACTCTGCTTAAGGCTGATGTGTAGGGGTGGAGTTGGAGACCAGTTTCATTTATGAGTGTTTCTTAAACTTGGGTATTTGTGTGATAAGCACCTGCAGTTGTAAGCCATGTATTCTGATTCCAGGGTTTAGGATTTAGTGTGTTGGAGTTAGGGTTAGAGTGTTTATCTGTATTTGTATGAGTGTACTACTAAGCATGCCTGGTGCACTTAGGCTAGAAGAAAACTCTTAGGTTCCCTGGAACTATAGTTAGAGCCATCATGTGGATGCTGAGAACTGACCGTTGGTCCTCTGCTAGAGTAACAAGGGCTCTTAACTGCTGAACCGTCTCTCTAGCCCTTTCACCCCAGGGTTTAACATATACCTAATTCCAGTGTTGAGCTCAAAGTTAGTATCAGTATGTTAATAACATTGGATATACGGAAAGTGCTTATTATTTGTTTTACTTTTAAGGTTGTCATCCCTCAGAAAAAAGGAAAGAAGGCTACAGCAACTCCAGCAAAGAAGGTGGTTGTTTCACAAACAAAAAAAGTTGCAGTTCCCACACCAGCTAAGAAAGCTGCTGTTACTCCAGGTAAAAAGGCAGCAGCCACACCAGCCAAGAAGGCAGTTACACCAGCCAAAGCAGTTGCAACACCTGGAAAGAAGGGAGCCACACAAGCAAAAGCATTGGTAGCAACCCCTGGTAAAAAGGGAGCTGTCACTCCAGCCAAGGGGGCTAAGAATGGTAAGAATGCTAAGAAGGAAGACAGTGATGAAGATGAAGATGACGACGATGATGAAGACGACAGTGATGAGGATGAAGAGGATGAGGAAGAGGATGAATTTGAGCCACCAGTAGTGAAAGGAAAACAAGGAAAGGTAGCTGCTGCTGCTCCTGCCTCAGAGGATGAAGACGAGGAAGAGGATGAAGAGGAGGAGGAGGAGGATGAAGAGGAGGAGGATGGTAGGTGGATTTCTGTTTGCAGGATGATTAGGAGATCTTGCCAACAATAATGCATGTAGTTTTCCTGACCACTTCGTGCTTAGATTAGAAAGTCACATTTTGTGCTCATAGTTCTTTCCATAACTTAGCATGCTGTCAGAATTTTATTTCTCTAAGACTTTTTTAGTGTGTATAAGATTCATGTTATCTGGATTGGCAGCAAATGCCCTTGCTTACTAAGCCAGCTCTCTTTCAGACTCTGAAGAAGAAGAAGCTATGGAGATCACACCTGCCAAAGGAAAGAAAGCTCCTGCAAAAGTTGTTCCTGTGAAAGCCAAGAATGTGGCTGAGGAGGAGGATGATGATGACGCTCCTGCAAAAGTTGTTCCTGTGAAAGCCAAGAATGTGGCTGAGGAGGATGATGATGATGAAGAGGAGGATGAAGATGAGGAGGAGGATGAAGAAGAGGAAGAAGATGAGGAGGAGGAGGAAGAGGAAGAAGAGGAAGGTAAGCAGATTACATTGAGGTACACTGACCTCAGTAATGTTTAATGGAAGTGCTTACCTACTCATGACACTAAAAATCTTATCCAGAGCCTGTTAAACCAGCACCTGGAAAACGGAAGAAGGAAATGACCAAACAGAAAGAAGTTCCTGAAGCAAAGAAACAGAAAGTGGAAGGTAAGCCTGTAAGATTGGGGACTGTGAGAGGAGATAAAGGTAGCAATAGCACAAGTGATGAATGACAAAGGGACTTAATACTGAAACCTGGTGTTGAGATTCAGTGTGCTGATGTGCTTTATAGAAGTTTTATGCTGATGTTTATGTATGGTGAGGTTTTAAATGAACTAAAGTTAATTTTCTGTGCAGGTTCAGAATCAACTACACCTTTCAATCTGTTCATTGGAAACCTTAACCCAAACAAGTCTGTTGCTGAATTAAAAGTTGCCATCAGTGAACTTTTTGCTAAAAATGATCTTGCTGTTGTGGATGTCAGAACTGGTACAAATAGGTAAGTTTTTCATTGAACATTAAATTGAGTTAGCTGGTGCTTCTAAATTCTCCATGCTCTTAAACACAGAGGTATATAATTACTTTAATGAAGACTAGACATTAAAGAACTAAGTCATCAAGTCATGGAACTTGCAAATTTGAAATTTCAATATTTGACTTTTGTGTTATGTCAAATAACAGCAATAATTGGCATTTTTGGATAGGTGGTGGCAGGGCACGATTCAGTCCCAGCACTTAGGCAGAGGCAGGTGAATCTGCATTGGAGGCAAGACTTGGATCTGAATAGTTATAGTGAATGCTTTTGGCCAAAAGGACTCTTAGTATTTAGCTAGGTTCCTCTTTCAGCTAGTACTATCAGTTAACAGTGTAAATTAAATCTGTGTAGATTTGCTATCCTGTCTAGGTACATAGGCTTGATTCTATGGGAGATGAATATGGCCTAGATCGCTCTCATGCCTATAATCTTGTCCTTTTCATCTACAAGGAAATTTGGTTATGTGGACTTTGAGTCAGCTGAAGACCTAGAAAAGGCCTTGGAGCTCACCGGTTTGAAAGTGTTTGGCAATGAAATTAAACTAGAAAAACCAAAAGGAAGAGATAGTAAAAAAGGTACGTAAAGAGACTGGGTGACTTAGAAGGTAGGCTTTGCCCCTTCTCCCTTAGTAAACCAGTGAGATTGACATGAATGGTCCACAGTGAGAAGTCTGACAAGTTCAATTCTAGGGGTGTACTGCTGCCGTCTACTGTCAAAATTGATGATTTTAAAAATCGAGTGTAATCTTTTAACTTTTCGAGGCCAGAGAGTGAACTGTGGCACTGACAGTCCTGAGTCAGGATGGTCTTATTCAGGAAATTGTGGGATTGGCTGGCAAGATGGATACCTTAATGTTTAAAAGTGCTTAATGCAAAAACTTGATGACATGATTTTGATCTATAGAAGTAAGAGAAACTCCAGATTTGTCCTCTGGGGCCACATGTAAAGATTTATTTATTATGTATACACCATTCTGCCTCCACGCCAGCAAGTGTATCATATCTCATTACAGGGTTGTGAGCCACCATGTGGTTGCTGGGAATTGATCTCAGTATCTCTGGAAGAACAGCAGAGCCATGTCTCCAGCACCCCCCCCCCCAAAGGGTTTTTGTATTTTAGAATTGGGGTTTTGAAGTGTTTTCTGTTTAGTGGGGTCCAAAAAATTGAACCTAGACCCTCTTAACACAGTGCTACATATCCTCAATCTCCTTTTCAACATTTGACACAGGGTAGCTCAGCAATTGCAGTTTATGCAGGTCAAGAACTTACTGGGTATAGACCCAGGTTACTGATTGTACAATAATCCATATTTGTGATGACATCTTAGAGATGGAATCAAAATAAACGTGTATCATATATACCTTAGTATACATAACTGTGGGGACGTTTGGGCTTGCATTTTGACAGGCTGATAACAGGCCACATCACATGTTGCCTTCCATTTTTGTTAATGTCATTGCTCAAATTTTTAGACTGAAATTTTTCATTAGCAGTGAGATTAGTAAACAAGGTCCTCTCAAACTATATCGGGCTCCTAATTATTACTTTTTGTGCCATTACTCTTTTCCTTTATTGTCACAAGTTAAATGGGTGGGGTGGGATTTGTTTTTTTTTTTCCTTTCTCTTATATGTTTATGTGTAGACTACATGTTTGTTTGCCAAGTGTGAGTGCTAAGAATTCACCATCTCCATCCCTTATCCCATCATTCTTAGCGTAGAACCTTTCCCTTCTTTATAGGAGCTGTTTGCATTAATTCATGACTTGTTAAATAATGAACTTTGTTTTGTTTAATGTAGTTCGAGCTGCAAGGACACTTTTAGCAAAAAATCTTTCTTTCAACATCACTGAGGATGAATTAAAAGAAGTGTTTGAAGATGCCTTGGAGATCAGATTGGTTAGCCAGGATGGGAAGAGTAAAGGGTATGTTTGTGTCTTAATCATTTAGCTTTATTAATAAAAAGGTGTTTGAGTGGTGACTGAGTATAATCTTCCCCTCTCATACCCTAAACAGGGTCTAAGGTAGTTCGTGTTGTTTGGTTATACTTATGATTTATTGAAGCTAACATGAGGTTACAGAAAGCAAACATATCCACAAGTCATGGAGCCAGGCAGTGGTGGTACACACATTTAATCTCAGGACTCCAGACTAGCAGGTGGAACTGTTCAAGGTCACACTGAACTACATGAGATTGATCCAGTCTGAAAGAGAAGCAGTGGTGATCTCAGCACTTGGGATCACACATCTTTAATACCAGCATTTGAGGTATATAAGATAGCAGCAGATATTCGGTCTGAAGAATTTATAATCAGTCTTGAGCCATGCTGAGGAGAAGCAGCAGTCTAGGATTGCAGTTTGAGGATTCGTGGAGCTAGCTGAATCACTTCAGCTTGAACCCCAATATCAGTCTCTGGGTCTTTGAAATGCTGGCCTCAAACTTAATTTGTAGCAAGAGACTGAACTGGTCCTTCAGCCTTCTACCACGAAGATACTGAGATTAAAGCACAGCTGGATTAGTTGTGCGGTTTACAGGCTGATCTGCATCCAAATCAACAGTATCTTTTGCCTCAGGTTCCTGATAACTGCCAGGAATAACCTTCCCTATTTTCTGAGTAAAATCTGATTCTAGGCAGTTTAACATTACTGTGTGTGGCTCTTTTGACATCCTGCATAGTAGGGAGATGACCTTCATAAGTTTAGAGGATGATTTTTTTTCAGGGTTTCCCTGGCTTTGGAGGCTTTTTTGGAACTACCTCTTATAGACCAGGCTGGTGCAGAAATCTGTCTCCTGAGTGCAGGGATTAAGGGCGTGTGCCACTACCGCCTTGCTAAAGGATGATTTTTTAAAGATGAGCTAATATATGAAAAAGAATTGAGGGGGCTGGAGAGATGGCTCAGAGGTTAAGAGCACTGACTGCTCTTCCAGAGGTCCTGAGTTCAATTCGAGGCAACCACATGGATGAGATCTGCTGCTGTCTTCCGGCCTGCAAGTGCAGAACATTGTATACATAATAAGTAAAGTCTTTAAAAAAAAATAACTGTAAAGCTCTGTAAGTAATCACCACCTGTTTTAGTCAGAGTGCACACGTGACCGACTATACGTGAGGTTACATAGTAATGCTGGTACTTGGGTTTCTTCTCAAGTGAATAACTGTTTAAACTTGTTTATGCTTTGCTAATCTCTGTTTCAGGATTGCTTATATTGAATTTAAGTCTGAAGCTGATGCAGAGAAAAACTTGGAAGAAAAGCAAGGAGCAGAAATTGATGGGCGTTCTGTTTCACTCTACTATACTGGGGAGAAGGGACAAAGGCAAGAAAGAACTGGAAAGAATAGCACTTGGAGTGGTGAGTTAAAGTTTGAAAGTTAGTTGTGTCTTTGTATTTTCAGACTTCATGATTAGCCAGAATTCACCTTTTGTTCATAATGCTAATTTATATTCATGGGAGCTATTTGAAATATTTACATTGGAACATAGTAGACAATTGCAGCGTTTTTTAATTGGTATGTTTCATACTTTAAGTGGCTTAAACTATAATTTTTGGTTTTTTGCTTTTTTGTTTTAGATTTTATTTATTATGTATACAACATTCTGCTTCCATGTATATCTGCACACCAGAAGAGGGCATCAGATCTCATAACGGATGGTTGTGAGCCACCATGTGGTTGCTGGGAATTGAACTCAGGACCTCTAGAGGACAGCCAGTGCTCTTAACCTCTGAGCCATCTCTCCAGCCCTTGTTTTTGTTTTTGAGACAAGGTTTTTCTGTAGCTTTGGAACCTGTCCTGGAACTCACAGATTTATCTGCCCTCCCTAGTGCTGGGATTAAAGGCGTGTGCCACCACTGTCTGCCTAATCTATGAATATTTTAGAAGTAATAGTCAAGGATAACATAGAATAGTCTTCTAGTTAGACTGAAAATGAAAGGAGCAAGAAGGGCATTGCTGTGTATGCTGGCTATTCAGTATGTTGAACAATGACTTGAATCAAATGTGGTTCTTACGATTATGGTACATGGCCTATGGCTGGAGTGTCATTGTTTCATTTAACATGGCATCTTGTGGGGTGAGTTGGAAACAGGCTTGTTATCCGGCCTGAGTGCTTTAATTTACTCAGAATTAGATTAACACACCTTGCTAATGTTGTGACATCATTGTACTTGCAGGTGAATCAAAAACTTTGGTTTTAAGTAACCTTTCCTACAGTGCAACAGAAGAAACTCTTCAGGAAGTGTTTGAGAAAGCAACTTTTATCAAAGTGCCCCAGAACCAACAGGGCAAATCTAAAGGGTAAAATGATTATTTTTGTGTTGGTAGATGTGAGCTGGGCATATTCTTAATATAGGTCTAGTAATGGTAAACCTATGCAACTTTGTTAGCTAGAAAACTGAGGTTTTATTTATGCAAATGATAGTACATATTAATAGCATGGGTAATTAGATGCTGGTGTTATGTGTGAGCTTTATTTTGAATATTGACTTTTAATCCTCAGGTATGCGTTTATAGAATTTGCTTCATTTGAAGATGCTAAAGAAGCTTTAAATTCCTGTAACAAAATGGAAATTGAGGGCAGAACAATCAGGTTGGAGTTACAAGGACCCAGGGGGTCACCTAATGCGAGAAGTCGTAAGTACATGGCATGATGTGGCTGAGGCCGGGTGGCAGTTTTTTGAGCTTATGTGTGTCTGTGCTAATGTGGGGCTGGCTTTTTATATTGCTGCTGAGTAAATGACAACTGGATATGATGACTGATTACCTGAGAAATAATTGATGAAATCTCAAGAAAACTCCTCTAGATAGTCAAGTTCTGATCCAGCTATGTCAGCTCAAGCAGCAACTTTTGGATTTAATTTCTGTCTGAATTCTCTTAGGTTGATGTGTCTAATCCAGTGTGGTCTCTTTACCTTTATTTACCTGCAATAAATAGCTTTTCTGGTTAAAAAATGTATTGGAAGGCATTTTAAAAATCAGTATTGTTAAGAATATTTCAGTTGAATGTGGCAGTACATGACTTTAAATCCTAGCCCAGCCCTCAAGGCTGGGACAAATGAATCTGAATTCTAGACCAGCCAAGGCAACATAGTGAAACCCTGTAAAACAGGCATTTTTCTTTTGCAGAGCCATCCAAAACACTGTTTGTCAAGGGTCTGTCTGAGGATACCACTGAAGAGACCTTAAAAGAATCATTTGAGGGCTCTGTTCGTGCAAGAATAGTCACTGATCGGGAAACTGGTTCCTCTAAAGGGTAGGACATGCTGCTTTCCTTGGTGTATTGTGCATGGACAGCTTGGCTCTACAGCGTCTTCTCATTGAGCTCCGTTCTGTCAACTGGTGGCAGATATGGATTCGCACGAGAAGGAGAGAGAATTCACAGAACTAGCGCTTAACTAACCTTCTGTTTCTACAGAGGTTTATTTGTCTGTTGTGTGATACATTCTGAGATCTAAATTCATTTCAACCAGAATTTACCACATTTGGGTCTGAATTGACTTACATACAGCAAGAGTGTCTTCTGTACAATCACTATGTGTGAGTGAACTTGATTCTTACGTACATGGTGTGCTTGCTTTAAAATGGTTTCTATTCTGTTTTAGGTTTGGTTTTGTAGACTTCAACAGTGAGGAAGATGCCAAAGCTGCCAAGGAGGCCATGGAAGATGGAGAGATTGATGGGAATAAAGTTACTTTGGACTGGGCCAAACCTAAGGGTGAAGGTGGCTTTGGTGGCCGAGGTGGAGGCAGAGGAGGTTTTGGGGGCCGAGGTGGTGGAAGAGGAGGAGGCCGAGGTGGATTTGGCGGCAGAGGCCGGGGCGGCTTTGGAGGTAAGCTCTTGTGATTCTTAACCAGGATGGTGTCCTAACCATCCTGGTGGGAGGTCAATTCCCAGTACTGTACTACCCATTCATGATGTTTTGCCTCTCTGCGGCAGAGGCCGGGGCGGCTTTGGAGGTAAGCTCTTGTGATTCTTAACCTTGTGTCCTAACCATCCTGGTGGGAGGTCAATTCCCAGTACTGTACTACCCATTCATGATGTTTTGCCTCTCTGTAGGTAGAGGAGGCTTCCGAGGTGGCCGAGGAGGAGGAGGAGGAGGAGACTTCAAGCCACAAGGAAAGAAGACGAAGTTTGAATAATTCCTTCCCAATCTTTCCCACTTCGTTTTAAAGAAAGGACTCTGGGGTTTTACACTGTTACCTGTTAAATGACGGAGCCTTTTAAGGACATTTCAAGAGATTTTTTTTCCTACAAATAGTTTTGGGGTTTTTTTTTTTTTGCGTTGGGGGTTGTAAAAGAATGTTTATCATGTTTTTTTTGCTTCAGTGACTTTAGGACAAATTAATTAAAAGTCCTAAACTCTGGTGCCAGACTTGTACTTCATAAAGATTCCTTTTGGAATGATGTTTAAAGAGCTCAGCAAGACCAACTCTGCTGTTCAGTGGGGATTTGAGACGTGTTCCTACTGCTTTCAAGAATCCCAGCTACAAATGTGGAGACTACTTTTGGGAGGGGTGGGGGAGGTGTCCACAACTACTTATGTTTCTGACCTGTAAGTTTTGTTGAAGATGCTGCATTTTCACCGAAGATGGGTGTACTGGATGGTGGTGGTAAGAGGCACATGGATCAGTGGGCAGTAGAAAGTATAGCCATAAAGAGCTTGTGGTGGAGTTACAGCTGGTATAGATCCTGCAGAGAGGAAACAGTGACTTTTTTGATGTGACCTAACACAAAGTTTGTGCAGCTAAAGGAAAGGGACTCTGTCCAATATATTAGGACTTTTCTTGGTGGTCCATTAAGGATGGACCCATCGTTTCCTTCCTCTGACTGTATTTTTAGTGCCCTGCTCCCACCAATTGGTTTTCAAAAAAAAGGCTAACCAGAGCTATTTGGCTTAAACACAAAGGCCCTCTGTAGGGTTACTCTTAAAACCTGTTGGGTTGGGATGACAGGCATACTTTTGTGTAGTGAGGAACAGTTTGGTGTGTTCTTTTGCTGTGTAAACCCTTGATTGCTAGCATCCTAGTTCAAAACAGTTAATGGCTTTTAGCTGAAAGTAATTACAGAAAAGGTAAAACTGGTTGGTGGTAGCCAAGGAGACATACAGGCAAATCTGAGTATGAGACTACTGTACAGAGCAAGTTTTAGGACAGCCAGGAACACATGCAAACCCTTACTCAAACTCAAAAAAAAAGGAAAGGAATGATCCAACTCCGGTTGGTAGCACGGCAGGCATATTTTGTGGAGTGAGGATACAGGAAAGTTCTCTGGATGGTCATCAAAAGTCTGGTTTGCAGTTAAAATACCTGCCCCCATTTTAAATTGGAGGGATTTGCAGCCATTTTGGAAGAGTGGTAAGCTCCCTTTAGGAAATGGTTGTCTGCTTTTTCTCATTCTTCCAGCAGGTGGCAATATAAGTACACATGAAAACTGAGGGAGGAGGAAAACCTGGCAGATGAACTCCAAACAACCATGTGTTTCATCTGCTTTTGACCACACTACTCTTACTGTGGCTTCTTTCCTATTCTAAGGATGCTAGTGACTGCAGGTTGCCATGTCTACTAGTTTTCAGTTTACCTGCCTGAACTTCAACAAGCAGATACTGGGGTGGTGACTTGACTCTGGGCTGAGGTAGAGAGGGAAGCAAACAAGTCGCCTTCCCCGTCCTATTTTCTTTTTGAGACAGGGTTTATCTAGCTCTGGCTGGCTGCCCATGTGCCTCTCCCAATTGCTGAGATTAAAGGAGTTCACACCACACCTGGTGGATTAGCATCTTTTAACACACTTAATTTCATTCAGTTAATGGCAAACCCTTTGCCATGGAATTAAGAGGCTCTTGTGGTTCTAATAGTAAAGAAGGGAACCTGCTTTTGATTGCTGTTGTACATAAAATTTAAACAAGTGCCCATGGTATTGATCAGCTAGAAAAAAAAACATCAGGGTGTGGTGTTTAGTGGCAGCAGATGTTGTGTGGTCAGAGAATGGGAGTTTTTTCACCTTGTTTTTGAAACAGTATTTTCTTCTGGGTGGCAGAATGGCTAGTTTGTTGGTTCTGGCAATAGAATGTGCAGATTAGAGATATATGCCCCTTCACTAGGTTTTTAGTTGTGTTCCAGGGTTCCTGGTCAAGTACCCACCATCTTGGTCCTCAGGGTGCTAGGATAAAAAGCGTGTGCCACCATGCCCCAACTCCATGATACATTTAATGTCATGAGGCTGTGTGGCACAAGCCTTTCATCCCAGCACTCAGAATACAGAGGTAGGTGAGTTTGAGGTCAGCCTGGTCTACAAAGGGAGTTCCACAGAAGCCTTGTCTCAACCCAAAAAAAATGAAAGCTTGAGGCCGTATTAGTCCTTTCAGTAAACTAACTCTACATTTATTTTGGGAGCTTCTTTTTGTTTGGAATAGGGTTTTGCCATGTAGCGCAGATTTGTCTTTGAAATTGGAGTCTTGCTTCAGCTCCGAGTGCTGAGATTGCAGGTGTGTACACTTGGTCTTTAGGTTCTTATCAAATGTCTTTTAGTCCCATTCATTCTCTACTTAGGCAGTTACATGTTAGTGTAATCTGATACTGTCATTGAGGCTAATTCTTTGAACATTGATGTTTGTATTGATCTGTTTCTTAGTTCACTGATTCTTCTGCTAGGCACTATAGTGAAAATTTCATTTGTCTTTATTTTCTTTTTATGGATGCTTGGCCTGTATGTATGTCTAACTATGCATGCAGTGCCACTGGATGCCAGAAGAGGGTGATTTTGTATTGGAGTTAAAAATGATTGTGAGAATCAAACTTGGTTTCCTAAGAGCTGAACCATCTTTCTACCCTTTGAAGTGTCTCTTTGTCTTTTCTAGGCTTCTCGTGGTTTGTCTTTCCCTGCAAAATTCCTAAACTTCTACAGTGAATGAAATACTTACTTGTAGTTATTTTTTACATAGGAAGGAAGCTTTATTGGAAGGGAAGGGAGAAGAGGGAGCTCGTAATTGTTTTTCATGTGCATTGGGGTTTGACATGCATGTATGTCTTTGTGAGAGAGTCAGATCCACTGAGTTAATATAGTTGTTGAGCTACCTGTGGGTGCTAGATAATGAACCTGGGTGCTTTGGGGGGTAACCAGTGCTCTTAACTGCTGAGCCATCCCCTTATTTGTAATTTTAACATGAATGTGGTTGAGCACTTTGTTCAGAATATCCATGTCTAAACTGGACACTGACATAGGGACCATCTTGATTATGCTGGGGACTTAGGTTTAGTCTTGCTAGCTCAGGTAATTTTGTTTTGGCATTTTGCTTTTAGTCCTTAGACCTAAGATGTGGCCCTTCAAATATCCATCTTTCAGTGAAAAAGCATGAACTTTTTATCAAGCCCCTTCCAGCTGGGCAAAACTTCAATTCTCTAGCATCAGCTAGCTACTGAAGTTTTTTCATTTTGCTTTTTCTTTTTGAGGCAAGGTTTCTCGGTGTAGGTTTGACTTCTGAAATTCAATCTGTAAACCAAATTGGCCTTGAACTGCCAGAGATCCACCTGCCTCTGCCTCTCAAGTACAGAGATGAAAGTCAGCCATCTACTGAAGGTTTTGGATGAGGTTTTTCTAAGTGGAAAGCAAGGGGCTCAGTGATTGAGCACAGCTGTTCTTGGCAGAGTACCAGTTTAGTTTCCAGCATTCAGGTGGTCCTTCATAGCCATCTAACTATAGTCCCAGGAGAGCCAAGGCCCTTTTCTGCTTCTTTCTTTGGCACTTTATGAGCATGGTGCATAGACATAAGTGCTAGTAAAACACCCATATACATAAATTAAAATGGCTCAGGTTAAGAGCACTGGCTGTTGTTCCAGAAGTTCTGAGTTCAATTCCCAGCAACCACAACCTTCTGTAATGAGATCTGCTCCCCTTTCTGGCCAGCAGAAGTACAGGCAGGCAGAACAGTGCATACATAATAAATAAATCTTTTTAAAAAATGATTCTAGTTTTTAATTGGTTTTTTTACTGAGCCAGGGTCTATAACTCTGGCTGTCCTAGAACTCACTCTGGACCACGCTGGCCTTGAACTGCCAGAGATCCACCTGCCTCTGCATTCTTAGTTCCGGGAACAAAACTGCACAACCACAATTGCCTGCAGTTTTTCATTTTTATAGTTTAAAGAGTCTAAAAAAAAGTCTATTTGCAACTGGCTATCTGTGATGGGTAATTTCATTTATAAACTTGATTGGACTGGTACATGTCTAGTGCATTGGTGAATTAGTTACTTTACATGTTGCTGTGACAAAATAATTGGACAAAGCAGTTTGATAGAGAAGCTTTATTTTGATTCATGATCAGAGTCCAGTCCATGACAGGAACATCAAGGTGGCAGCTGATTAGAGTGCATCTGCTATGAGGAGAAAGTGATGGGTGCTTATGATCAACTAGCTTTTCTCCTTTCCATTGCAGACCAGAACTCGAACCTAGGGAGTGGTGCACCCACTTTTAGAGTGGCTCTACCTCTATTAACCTGATGGAGATAATTCTTCACAAATACACCTGGAAGCTTGTCTCCTAGCTGGTTCCTGATCCAGGTCAGCTGACCACATGGTGAGGCACAGCCTTGAGTGTATCTGAGGGCATTTTCAGAGAGGATTAATTGAACTAGGAAGACCTACTTTAAATGTGGGTGGCATCCCCATGGCTAGTGTCTTTTATGAACAGTTGTGAGCTGCCACGTGGGTGCCGGAAATTGAGCCCAGGTCCTCTGGAAAAGCAGCTAGTTCTCTGAGCCATCTCTCCAGCCCCTGGGCTGGATTTTAAACTGGACAAAAAGAAAAAGGAAGCCAACAGAGTGCCTTGCATGGGCTTTGCTCTGCCATCTCAATTTTCCATATGAAAGAAAGCTTGCAAATTTCCTAGGGGCATCATAAATTGTTAACTTTCTGGATCTTGAATAGCATTCAAGATTTGTCTGCTTAAAAACATCCATAGCCAGTTGTGGTGGCACACGCCAGTAGGATTTGCTAATGGAGGCAGAGGCAGGAGGATGATGAGTTCTAGGCCAGCCTGGGCTACACGGTGAGACAACTTACAAAGCAAAACAGAGAAACCCTATCTTGAAAAACCAAAAAAAAAACATCTATAAAGAGGGACCAGTGAGCTCACTGGATGAAGGTGCTTGCTGCCAAGCTGACAGCCTGGATTTGATCTCTGGAACACATGTAAATTAGGAGAGAACCAACTCCACAGACTTGAAAGCAGGTTCCTGCACATGCATATCACACACAGTAATTATGTTTAAATAATACATATCCACAAGGAAAGCCACAAGAAAGATAAAACCTCTAATAAGTGTTTCCAGACTGGGGATTTCTTTTCCTTCCAGGAAAACTAACCTGTTGCTCAAAGTGAGAATATACCTCAGGATGTGTTGAAACCCAGAAAGAAACTTTCATATGTAGTTTCCCCCATTAAGGTTTATGAATACATCTGTGACACAGTGATAAAATTGATGAGTTTCACCAATGGTGACAAAACTCAGAGAAGGAAGTCCTTTATGAAAAGCACAGAGGGGCTGGGCATGTAGCTCGATGATAAGGCCATGGTTTAAATCCTCAGTGTGTCACACACACAGTGTTGATGACATAGCTTCCTTTTAAACAAGGATGGCAAAATTACAGTTTGGTAGAGACAATGAAGCTTCTCTTTCCAAGAAAAATTTTGTTCCACAAGTCTTTAATATTCCAGACACCCTTGACCTTTGTAGATTAGGAAGGTGCCACAAAGGAAGCACTTCTTCGGGAGTGGAAGCTCTTTGGACACCAGGAAAAGCAGAGCAGCTGTCAACACAACTCAGTTGTGAGAATGCTTTCCTAATGCCCGCAAGGCCAGGTTCCTGGGTTCCACTTCGAAAACCACAATAAAACCAAGTGTGGTGGTACCTACCTATAAATAAGCCCAGCCCTCAGGAATGGAGGACGGTGATCTGAAGCTTCAAGGTAATGCCTACAATGAGGGTGTGTGTGTAGTCACTCCGAAGTATGCTCTCCAGCAAAGCCAGCTCACCTTAGCTGCTTCTAAGCACACGACTGGAAGAAACTGCTTCTAGTGTTTTCTTTTACTCTAATCAAAAAACACTCCATAGTTTCCTTCATGCATACACTCTGGTCCCTTTCATGTCATTTAGTCACACTGGTCATCAGTGTTTGAGGATGCTTCAATAAACACTAGAATTACAGGTGTGCACCACTGGATCTGACCTGGACTTAAAAAACAATTTTCCCCCAAATCCAAGGCTTCTCATATACTCTGTAAGCATTCTGCCACTGAACTCTGTCTGCAGAACTCTTAATTCCTTTTTGAACTGAGCTGTCCTTATACAACACCTCCTTGCAGACTAGGAATGGTGATGCACCCCTGTGATCTTAACTCGGGAGGTACAGGCAGGATCATGAGTGTCAGGCAAGCTTGGGCTACAAAGTGAGACCCTTCTTAAAAACATTAAAATGGCTCAGTGGAAAAGTGTTTGTTGCTTAAGACGGAAGAGTTGGAGCCGGCCACAGTGGCACACGCCTCTAATCCCAGTACTAGGGAGGCAGAGGCAGGTGGATTTCTGTGAGTTCAAGGCCAGCCTGGTGTCCAGAGTGAGTACCAGGACAGCCAAAGATACATAGAGAAACCCTGTCTCAGGGGGGAAAAAAAGAGAAAAGACTCCAAGGAGCCCATGGTAGAAAAGAACCAACTCCCAAAAGTTGTCCTCTGACCTCCACATATATGTGTCCATACTTACACATG